GAGCAATTACTTGGTTGTGTCTTTTTCACAGCCTGTTGCTCAGAATGTTAAGGTGGATCATCACCCTGGTGGAGGCCATTGGTTTGCTGCTGGTCTTTCTCCTCAGGTGAACTTGCTTCTTCTTTATGACCATTATTTTGTAGCATGCATATTTTCAAAATTAATTTCTATTAGCATTTTTTTATATCAGAGATGTATTGTTTCAGAACCTTGTCATATTTCAAGTTTGAGCTCGTGGTGTTTGTCATTATATTTTATTTTGGTACAAGGATTTCTAATCAATTTAATTTACAGGTTACAAGCATGAACAGATGTCCTCCACAGAGCAGTCAACATTTTCAGATGGCTCCATATTGTCATGCCAGTAGTTATGGCAGTTTAGGGAGCCATGGTAGTTATAATGATAATGCTGGACTTGGAAGCAGCTATGGAAGTTATGGTGATAATAGTAGTTTTTATGCATATTATTCTCCAGTTGGTCCATCGGGTTTGAACATCCACACGCAAGGTGGAGTGCCAATCCTTGGAGCTAGCCCAGATGCTAGGCGAAGGACATCTCAACTCTCTCATGGAAATGGTCTTGGTGTCAGTCCATCTGCAGGAAATTTTGCACCAATGTCCCTGGGTGCTAGTCCCTCACAGTTTACTCCTCCAAGCTCCCACATTCAGGTTTCAGCTGGTTCTCCTGGAAAGTATGGTCCAACTTCTCCAGCAAGAAGTAGTGGTGTTCATGGTTCACCATTAAGCAAAATGACAGCTGCATGCCAAGTTAACAGAAGAAGAAGTTGGGGATATCCAGGAAGTCTGCAATCTCAGGAGAGTTCATCTCCACACTGGCAAGGGCATCACAGTGATGGTGCTAGCTGTAGTCACACTGAAGGGAACTCTCGAGGACATGGTAGTTCTCCTCGAGGTGTGCAATCAAGTTTTAATTCACCAAGCTGGAGACAGCAAAGGGGATGCAATGGACTCACTTCAGGCTATTCCTCAACTGTTCAGAATGCCCCTGGATCACATGCACAGAGCTCTAATTTTCCATTGCAACAAACTTCAGAATCTGCTTATGACAAGTCTGAAAGCAATTCGTCACTTCCTGATCCTGGTGATTGGGATCCCAATTATAGGTAAAAATTCAAAATATATTGTTGTAATCCCACTTTAGCTCACAAATAATATCAATATTTTTGTAATTTATTCAAAATAAGAGAACGATAAGAATAGTAAAAGAAGCTTGCACAAACCTTAACTCTGGATTGGCAAATTTCTCTTCCAGTGACGAACTTCTTTTGCAAGAGGATGGCTCTGATGTAAGCTATCTAACTTCTGAGTTCAGCAATGGAATGCGCCTTTCGCATGCTGCAGAATCTGCAGTTCCAATGGCTGGAATTGGAAGATCAAGCCACATTTCAAACCAGGCACAGACAAGTTCAAGCTTATCCATGCAAAGGTAATTTTTATATGATCAGTAACTGTGGTAACTTAACTTTTCATACTTCATAATAAGTAAGACAAGATTACAGTTTAGGCCCCCAAAGAACCACCTTTTGTCACATCTATTATACAATGAAGCCCAAAAGAGTTGTTCCCCTCCAAAAAAACCCCTCTTTTTGCCATGGTTTCAGCCAAATCATTTGGTAGTCTATTAACCCATCTAAAGTGGCCTCCATCTCTCTTGCGAAATTCCTGTTTTTTTCTCATAGCTAATACTCTTGACTAATATTATTCATCCATCTCACAACCAGTGTAGAATCCCCTTCAAACAAATTAAAATTTCTACTGTAAGAGAGTTTCCATATCCTAGAGGACCTGAAAATAGAGGCAAAATTGACTCATTTTCATCCCTAAACACTCCAATGTCAGTGAGGCTTGGATTCCCTAGTAAACTTCTATCAAAATCCACTTTTATCCTATTATTAATTGAGGGAGCCTACTGCTCTTGGACTGTGGTCTTCAAAATGTAGGAAGCATCTATTGCTTCCCATTCTCTAATCATGTCATCTAACTGTAAAACTGCTGAAGATCTCCATTGTCTTAACCTAATGAATTATCTTCTATGTGATATTCTTAGTTAAGGCATGCGAAGTTTGTATTGCTCCTTAAACAACTTGTTATTCCTCTCCTCCCATATGGTCCATAATATCGTAACTCTTGTGGCTTTCCATATCATTTCACCCCTTCTTTTTGGAAGGGTCATAATCCCTAGGCTCAACAAACTGGCTGCATCTTGAGAAGGAACCCATCTGCAACCAAAGAGAGAACAAAAGTACTGCAAAACACTAGACACAAATAAACAGGTGATTAGTAAATGGAAGTCTCTCTACTGGCTTTCTAGGGGATACAGATTTGGGGTGCAACTTGAGGCCTTCTTTGGAGCATATCACAGTATTAATGTTCCCCAGAACCACTTCCCAACAAAGCCATAATCTTAGCACAGGATTGCTTCATACCTCTTTAATTGGGGGCCCAGTCATAGGATGGGAGGAATGTACAAGGACATGAAGACAAGAAAGACAAGAAAACAACCTGGAAGAAGATGCTGACAAACCTCATATAACAAATCCAAAGATACCGAATCCAGTAAGGATGACAATTCCAACAAAGAAACATAATCCCTCTCTTTATGGCCTTTCCTAAAATAAAGATCCCAAACCACCGCATTAGAAGAATGAGCCCAAAACGTGGAAATAGGTTTCAAGTTGTAAGAGATAAAAGAGTATAACAAAGGAAATCTATCTTTGAGTAATGTGTTTCCTAGCCAAAGATTTTCCCAAAACAGAGTTTTATTACCATTTCCAGCGTCATATCTGATCTGGTTTAAAAAGGAAGATTGCATCCTTTCATCCAAAGGTAATTCTGTTAGATGCAAATTTTATTCTGGTTCTTCCATATCATTCATGTATGATATTTTTATTAAAATATACCCAGCCGTGAATCTTCTTGCAGTAGGTATAACTCTTCATTTTGATTTTACTATCCTTGTAATGTGTACTTGTACGGTTCATGAGATTTCTGGAAAAGATTATATTTGTTCTACTAAATGCATCGTATTCTGTGATGTATACAGAACAAATGGACCTATTCAACCATATTCACATGTAGAAGTGGGAAGCCCGCCTTCAGCTCATGATATGTTTGCTGGGTATCCACGTGCATTATCGAAACCTTCATCACATCCTATGTCTCATTTTTCATTGAACTATCCAAGCCGTTTGGGACAGCAGACTGTCCAGCGGTTCAACCATGGGCACTCAATGTTTGCTCGTAGTGGTGAGTGGAGTCATCACAAGGTTCAGCCTCCACCCAACTATAGCATGGGGGGTTCACATTCTCCTGGCAATAGCACATTTTCCAATGGAACGAATTGGGGTACTTAACTCTCTAACTCCTATGCCATTCATAGATGTAATTATAGAATATTTTCCATCTATTGTTCTTCTTGAGAATACAAGCTTCCAATGATATTTTAAATGATACTGGCTTGTATTGTAGGACGAAGGGCCGGGCATCCCATCACCACAATTCCACCACCATCCCATGCAAGAAAGGACTATGGAAGGATTGCCTGAAGTAGAAAGTTGGTTAACCTCCTGAGAGGGGTTATGAATTTCATATTTGGCATGGAAATCTGTATTTGATAGTTCCAGTTGCCATGCAGGCTTGTGCTATCTATGGAAATCTTCTTTGGGGTCATGTTGGTCCATTGTGCTTTCACTAATATAATTTATGATTTATAAGGCATCCAAATCTTGTTGGAAATTCACTTCTGGTTGGTCCACAGCTAATTAATTCATCCAAGGGCCTTCATCTCCACGCAGTTCACCAGCTGCTAGATTTGTTCTCAAGTTCTGTACTAATTTTTGGTTTGCCTTATCCTCTTTTGAAGGAAATACAATGTTAGATGTATCTAACATTGCCATTTTCCACTAAGGTATACCTTGCAGCTGGATAGGACAACGTTTATTAAGTTCAAACAGAAGGCCAGGTGGCAAGGGCTGTCTGACAGGTATTGCACCAACAATTTTATGTTGCTTGGCAGTTAAAAATTGTTATCATATGTTTTCTCTTTGGTGCCAGAAAATATTATGGTTTTGGATGCACATTTTGTTGAGTTTTAATTGCAGATCTCCAAGTTCCTCGGTTCTGGTGCTCCAGCGGACCACCCCATTTTGCCAACTGATTGTTGACGGAGTTTGGTCCTAGTGTTCCTATCCTAAGCATAATGGCTTTGGATGTGATAATTTATACGTTCATTTTTTTTTTTTTTTGTTTTTCCAGTTGATTGTTATTTGTTTGAGTTAAACACACGAATTGAATACTGGAACATGAATTCTTTTCTTTTCCCTGTAAACTTCTGTGTTTGAAATTTATTGACAGATCCAAAATTCCGAGTGCTAATGTGACTGTCTTACAGATTCTAAAATGTTTCAAGCGCATTTTACTTTTTTTTTTTAATGAAACAGATGCAGATAGCATGTATTACCCCTGCAGATCTACAACATTAAACCTTGAATTCACTTTCTGGATGTGATGCCTAGAGGGATTGGTTGAATTGATATAAATGGACTGATGTGGCTTCTGTGGGCTCAAAAGTAGTACAGAAAAAGGAATGACATTGACACTAGTAATTTGTCCTCTTACTAGTATTTTTTGGGCATGATATAGAATGAAACTGAATTTTCTCAAGATTTGACTGGGTTACCGAAATGTTTATGCATATGATTCATGTTTTGAGTCTTGGGGTTTGGTTTATTTAATTTGCTGACTGTTAGAAGTCATAGAACCAAGCATGCATCAAGGTCTGTCATCCAGTTTGAGCAGTCACGCGATGGGCATTTCAGAGGTAGGCATTTTTCTCGACAAACATTGTTGAATGTGTAGGTTTGAGATCTTTGCTTTCTTGACTTAACTCCAACCAAAAATCTCCTACATTGAACAAATTAAACTTTAGCTCTGTGAAATGGAGTTCCTATGAGAGGTACAATATATTTCGATGATGAATGATGTAAGAACTGCTGGGCGCTGATTTAGATTGTGTCTGGTAGGAGGAATTGATTTGCGGATTCTGATTTCTCATCTTGCCATATTAGATGCTTCTAATCACTTTGAGAAATCATGTTTGGTAAGCTGTTCCTCAAAATTCAGTGGAAGAATCAGTCTCTCAAATTTTGTGTTTTTGGGTGATTATCGAAGCTGGGTTGATAGCTACCAGCTGATGGGGCAGAGTTTATTTTCATCTTTTGAAAGAACACAGAAGTCGTCCTTATTTCGAAGTTCGAACACCCCCTTAATTCTTAAATTACATTTATTTTGATAATCTTTTGGCAAACAATTTCCACGCAAGAGAGACGAAAACACACGAGGATGCCGTATTCAACGTTTAGAAGATAAAATGAAAAACTTCAAAACATCCCAAGGCCTACTCTCATCCTTCTCTAATGCCTATAAAATGAAAAAAAAAGTAAAAGATAAAAAGGATGGAGTATGAGTGATATTGATATGCACCAATACCTAATTTTGGGTATGTTTCGATTAAAATTATTAGCATAGAAGGTTAGTGTACAATGATGAGTGTTGATTAAAAAATTCAAGTTGTTTGGTGAGATACAAGGACCAAGTTGATCATAGCTTAAATATGGTTTTCAATTCCAACAAAAGAACACCATGGCAAAAATATGGTAGTAAAGATTAAAATATTGATCAATATGTTCGATGTGGGGTGTATTGTATTGGTATCAATGCACTTAGATAAATATCTGCCATATTAAAGTTCAAAATTTTGTTACGTATCGGTCCATATCGGTCGATACGTATCGTTCTAGCAAGTTTTTGGCACGGTACATGATACCAAATTGAATGTGTTGTATCTATTTGTCGTATCGAGGCCGTATTGTGCCCACATCGTTAAGTATCGGTGCGTTTCGGCAGTGTATCGGTTGATACGCTATCGATACGGTAGCGTATCGATCGATACAGTACGATTTTATTGTGGCAGAAACGCAAATAAAACTCCCTTCGAAAGAGGGTTTCCCAAACTCTTCAAAAAGCTTTTTAACCTTTTTAAAGATTCAAATCTTGTAAAAATTTGCCAAAACATCTATAAATTTGCAATATTCAACAAGTTTTTCAAGGTTGTGAAAAACGGAGTGAAAATAAATATGTTTTTTCAAATTCCTTTTACATTTTTCAGCCAATGTTATAAAAGATAAGGGGAAAGAAAGTGGTTTGCCCCCTACCCCTTCAGCTAGGGGACTTCACCCCCCCGTCCCCCTTTTCGATGTAGCCTAATTTATTTTTTTGAGTTAAGGGAGTCTTGCTCCGCTTCGGCGAGCTCGCATCTACTTTGACAAGACCCCCCCTTTTAACAACTATTATGCATTTTTATTTTTCTTAATATAAAAGTTTTTATTAAAGATAAAGAAAAAAATGAAATCCCCCCTTCCTCCTCTTAAGGAAGCTTATGCCTCTTGCATTCTGAGCTATGCTTCACACCTCTAGGTAGTGGAATGCCTCTGTATTTTAAAACATTGATATTTATTTTTTTTAATTTTTAATATTAAAATATGAAAAATAATTATTTCATCTTTTATGTCTATAAATCCATTCAATTTTTTGTTACGTATTTACTTTTCTTAATTTTAATTTAATTTTTAGAATAAAACATGCAAAATAATTATTTGAATAAAAATAAATAATTATTTAGTTTTTAGAAAATTAGAATAAAACATGAAAATAATTACTTAATCTATTATGTCCATAATTAGATAGTATGTTTATATTCCCAACTTCCCGTTTATTGATTAGAATATGTTTTTTTCATAAAACCCACTAAAATGTGTTATTTTTATGCATAAATAGCTCATTTATGTCTTATATTTAGTGATATTGATGTTTATTTATGATTTATAAGAGTATGTATAGCATTTCCATGTGTATCTTAATTTTTCGTGCGTATCCCGATACGTCTCTTAAATTTGCCTTTTCGATACGTATAGCGTTTTCGATACTTTGAACCTTGTGCCATATCAATACAGATTGATGCCCATGTGTGGGTAGAGGTGTAAAACGGGCCATGTGGCTGTCTCGAGCCGTGCCACCCTCCCTTGGGAAAACTTGGGGGTCAGCCCGGTACGGCCCACGGCCCAAGCCCAAGCAGGCCCGTGCCATGCCATGGGTTGGGTTGGTCCATGGGTCAAGCCTTGGGTTAAGTCGGGCTGTGGGCCGGGCCAAAGCTATTTATTTAAAAAATTGAAAAAAAACTTAAAATTTTAATTTTATATGAATTTTGATGTATACAATTGCTTATATATACAATAATTAAATAAATTAGTATAATAAAATTGAAAATAATTGTTTATTTTATTAATATATTATATAGTATATTATTATATTATTATAATTTATATAATATATTATATTATGTATATATATAATATAAATAGTATATATGGGCTGTGCTAGGCCGTGCTGTGCTGACCCGACCCACAGACCTAAAACCTCAGGCCCAGCATGGCCAACACAATTGTGCCGCCGGGCCTGGCATGACCCGCGTGCTGTCATGCCATCATGCCGGGCCAATCTAAAGTCGGGCCGCGGGCAGCATGACCCAATATTGATAGTTTAACTCTTGGTACCGTGTAGTGTTTCAAAGAAAAAAGAATAATTTAATTAATGGGCCTCCAATGGGTTCATCAAAGGCAAAGACAGATGAGATCAATTACATAGTTTATTTTACCAAAAAAAAATTACATAGTCCAAACCATCCCCACGAATTTTCACAAAGCTTAAAGACTGGCCCAAGTCCGGGCATTGTAACAATTATAGATAGTAATCAGACCATTAAAAGCCCCTATAATTTTGAGTAAATTGCATATTAGTACTTATACTTTGGGGTTAATCTCACTTCAATACCCGAACTTTAAAATGTATCATTACAACACTTGAATTCTTGAAAACTGCTCGTTTACTCCAAGATTGTTAATGACATATGAAAGGACATAAATACCCTTTAAGTTTTGAATAGGTAGGAGAATCATCATTTTGAAATAGCCAAAATAATCATATTTAAATCCCTTTTCATTGCAATTGGGCACCATTGTTTACTTTATGCTAACCTTTTTGTCTAATAACCATTGCTTTTTGTCAAAGAAGCTACACGGATAAATGTTGCTGGAGAAAATGACATCATTGCCGGAAAAGAGGGATTTAGAATGCTGTCATTGTAATCCTTGTTTTGAATTATTCAATCCATAATAAGGGATGCTAATGTTGTTGGAGAAAACAAGTAATTTTTGTCCTTGGGGAATGGTTTCGAAAATATTAAAAAAAAAGGTAGTTTGGATGTTTTCATAAAAATTTAAATTGCAAGTATATCATATACGAGACCGGATCTGCTCCTTACACATGGCACCTTACACCGGTCGGGTTGGGGTAGGGGTGTTCACAGATTGGGTTGGATCGGCTTGAGTCATTTTCTTCAACTGACCCGACCTAGTCGGTTTACTTATTGAATAAATCAAAACCGAGTGACCCTGAAGTAAAACTGACCCAAGCATGAAGGGTCGGTTTGGGTTAGTTTATCGGTTTAATCAGCTTTTATATATATTTTAAATTAAAATATCTATTTATATTTAAGTTTATTTCTTATTAGTTTTTATGCAAAATCAAAATATATATATTTAAATCGACTAGTTTTTTATGCAAAACTTTTTTTTGGTCAATATTTATTTAAATTTATACAAAACTGAATTAAATATTGTACCATTGTATTATATTTGTATTGGTTTTACTTTTTAGTTTTTATCATAAATAACCAATTTTTTTTTAAAGTTCAAACAAAACAAAAATAAAATATATTAACATTTAACATATAGGGTAGGGACTAATTAATAATTACTTAAACATATAGGATCGGTTCTGAAAACCGAAATCGAACCGAGTTGTCATTTATTTTCTCATACAAACCGAAACCGACTGGTGGTTTTGAAAAACCGACCAACTCAGGTTGGGTCGGGTTAGTTTGGTCGGTTTGACCGCTTTGACATTTAATGTGAACACCCTAAGGAGCAGATCCCAATCTATCATATACAAATAAATGGCAGATTGCTAATTATGGGTTCTAAATTGTCAATTTTCAAGAATTCAGATACAATTACATTTTAAAGTTTCCAATGAAGTGAGACTAGTCCTTGTGCTAATTTGCAATTTACCCTTATGTTTTACCCTAAGGCTCAGTTTGGAAGGAGTACAAATACAAATATATACAAAATAGTACAAAATACAATGTTTTGCACTCTACATATTTGTATTTGTATTCCTTCCAAATGGAGTCTAAGGCAGAGTTTGAAAAGAGTACAAATACAAATATGCACAATGCAAATACATACAAAATAATACAAAATATAAAGTTTTGCATTGTAAATATTTGTATCTGTACTCTTTCCTCAGTTTGGAAGGAGTACAAATACAAATATGTAGAGCGCAAAGCCATGTATTTTGCATTATTTTGTATGTATTTGCATTTTACATATTTGTATTTGTACTCCTTCCAAAATAAGCCTTATGTTTTTATTATGATGTTTATCAGTTGGGACCCATTAACGTCATCGTTGTTGTTGCTCCAAAAAATAGTGCCACATTAGTGCAATGTCAGAAAAAGTGGTACTCTAGAAAATGAGCATTTGTTTGGAACTGTTTTCTATAAAAAATGGTACTTCAAGCCACACCTCGAAAATCGGGAAGGCATGGCTTAGAGCAACGTTAAATTTGGTATTTCCTAAAGCTACAATTTATTACTGCCAATAGGACAGTGATGTGGCACTAGATAATAGGTACCAATGTTGAAAGCATTGATATCAAACAAAAAAAATTGTTGTTGAAAAAAAGACATCGATGCTAAATATATACCTAATTGTCGATCCCATCATTAACGATGATTCAACACGTGGCATCCTCCGTGTCCCCAGATGTGGGACCCATATGCATTCTGGATCCTGCTTAGTTCAATGCTTCTCTCTGTGTCGGGTCGGGTTGCATCTATTAATGTCGACTGTCGAGTTAAAATTCAGTCGGTTCGGTTTCTGCTTAGGCCCCTTCTTATTTTTGAATTCAGACTCTTGCTGCCGTTGCCGTCTTCTTCGTTCGTATATACACAACTGCTGCCCTCGTAAGATCTCTCTCTCTCTGAGTCTCTCCTCATGGTTAAAAAGGAAGCATGTTTATCTTTATTCCTTCTGGACTGGAGCCTTGAGATTACTTCTAAAGCTCAATTGATCAAAACCCTAATTCAATCGCATTTTTTTTCTCCATATTTAATAGAAATTTAAACTATCTATGACGGTATATGCTTGGTCCTCAATTTTGATTGTCGATTCCATATACAACCATTAGCACTGAAAGAAAGAGAAAAAAAGTCTACGACTAATCTTAAAAACTAATGTTGTTGGTAGAATTTGGTTTATCTAAAAGTTTTAATGTTGTTAGACGAAGTACGCTTATGACCATCACATCTTGGTTTAGAAAGACAGGAATTTCTGTACGATATCAGCTCCATAATTGTATTTCCTCTCGAAAGAAAAGGAAACAAATGCTTAAGTTCATGGTTACTTTGATTAAGGTTGTGTTTGGTTTGAAGGAAAAGGTAGGAAAAGGAAGGGAAAGGCAAGGCAGGAAAACCTATACAAGGTTTGTACATGTTTCCCTTCCTTTCCTTTCCCTGCCTTTTCCTTCAAACCAAACATAGCCTAATCGTAATATATTCTGAAACTAATGGAATAGTACTCTAGATTTTTGTCTTTTGGTTTCCTTGCAATTTTGTTTGTTTTGGTAATATTAATTTGTAACCTGATATTTATTTGATTTATCATTCAAGTGTTTTGTAATTTTAATTCTTTATAAGCTAATTTTTTTTCTAAGGTGGGAATTTGCTGGATATGGTCACATCAAGATTTACCCGCCCCAAGGGATCAGATGGTGAATCCAGTCCCAACCTGTACGTAGCTAACTGTGGGCCTGCTGTTGGTTTATCTTTTGACAAGATTGAATCAGTGTTCAGCACATTTGGCAATATGAGAGGGGTCTATCCAGCCGATGAATCTGGTACCCGTGTCATTGTTTCCTACCTTGAAGAGAGCTCTGCCCAAGCAGCATTGAAGGCATTAAGTGGACATCCTTGCAAAGATCTTGGAGGCCGTGTTCTGCATATACGTTACTCAATACTCCGACCAGCTTCTCAGGTTTTAATAATAGACTTAAAATCTCAGGATCTTTGTAGCTTCTATTTGCTTTACCTTCATTGAAATTCATTTCAAGTTTGCATTTTGCACGAGTAAATTCATTAATCCAAGCTATTTATATGTTTCCTATTGTTAATAGACTAATGTATACATTGAACATGTGCAATAGAGTGTACATCATTTCATGAATTCTTCCAGGAAATTACCAGGTTGGATCAGGAAGATTTTAAAAATCTGATTTGTGGGCTTAATTTGTTAACTTATTGCCACATGCATTATTCCTATCATCGAAATGATGCTATAGCTCTAGAGACTGGATGGTTATGTCCCCTAACCAAGCTGATTTGGCATAGTTTTAGGATCTTTCCCACATGGGGGCTATTTGATGCATCTATGTTGCTTCGTTAGTGCCATATATTACAAATATTGCATTTGTAGACTGTAATATATGATAAAAAAGACTCGAAAATAAAGCTGTAAGATTTGTGCTGATGTTCGTAAAACAATATTTATGTTTTATCTTTATTGTCTGTTCGTTGTTCATTGTTCATGAATATATTCATGTCTCCTTAGGTTCAAGTAAATGATTCAGTTCCAGTATATCTGGTGGCTTCAGATTTGAAGATTCCAGGCATTTACTTGGTTCATGACTTTATCACCAGTAAAGAAGAGGAGGTTAGGGAATCTCTTGATACTTGTTTGACTCCATTTTTTTGCATCTTTCTGTTGCAGTTCTTTTGCGAAGCATGATTTTCTAAATGCTTTCTCACACTTGTGTCATTCACATTAGTTTTTGTTTTCTACAGAAACTCCTTGCCGCTGTTGATAACAGGCCTTGGAAACGTCTTGCAAAAAGAAGGGTTCAGCATTATGGCTATGAGTTTCTGTATGAAGTAAGTATCTACTTGAAGATTTTAAATTTACTGCAGCAAATTTTCCAGTAGCTACTTGAAGATTTTAAATTTACTGCAGCAACTTTTCCTATTTTCAACCATGCTTTTAATAGTTTCTCTTATCATCGTGTAGTTTGGGGCAACTATTTTTCTATCAATTGTTATGAATTTTCATATTTAATATGGTAAGGATATGAATTCAACAATGCTATTAGAAATTTGCCAATCCATCAGAAGGCACAGTAATAAATTGTACCTTTTCTCAATCAGGTATCGTAGATATTATGTATATAATCTTGATTGTTTAGTTATTTTTCACTGTAAGACAAGATTTTTCTTTTACGCTATGTTTGGTTTGAAGGAAAGAGTAAGGAAAGGAAGAGAAATGCAGGGAAACCTATACAAGATTTGTAAAGGTTTCCCTTCCTTTCCTTTCCTTTCCCTACTTTTTCCTTCAAACCAAACATAGCCTTGGTGTTTGATAACAAATGTTTTTCTCAAAGCTCCATCTTCCAAGACACTAAGCCTTTTTTACTCTTTTTACAGACAAGGAATGTTGATACAAAGCAGTACCTAGGTGAACTCCCATCATTTGTTCTTCCCATACTTGAAAAGATCTCCTCATTCCCCAACTTTGTTGCTGCTGGATATGATACTCTGGATCAATTAACGGTACACAGAATAGTTCTTCTTTTCATCATGTTATGTGACAAATGATTTTTCATTACCAATCAGTTTTTCCGTCTGTATGAAGAGATTGGTTGCTTTTTCTTTCTTTCTCACTAGGATACAGATTAATGAGTTGGGTGTTTGCATGGAATGATAGAGAGTTTGCAAACTAGGTGATTGGAAACCTGCATATGTTTCTTACTCTTTTAGCAATTGTTCTAAAGTTAGTGAGCTTCAATGCTTCATAGGGTGGTTGTACTTCTAATTCCTTATGTCCATAAACTAATAAAAAAGTCCTTTCCATTTTGAGAACCCTGAATTTTGATCAATTGAATTGTATTTGATTACAACAATTGTAGTGGTCCTTTCTGCTCATGTGAGCTACATGACTATATACAATGATTATCCTAAATACTATTTTGACAGAAGTTATACTCAGGCCACTAGATTAATGAAATAGTGTAGGACAATTTTTTTTTTGAATGGGAACTTGAGAGTTTTGTTTATTTAAAATTAAAACTGGAAAGTTAAAATGTATGGGAAGAATACTATGCATGGAGATGTAAAGGCATCCATCCTATGGACTTTTGGGAACAAAGGAACAAAAGAATTTTCAAGGAGATCAAAAGGGCCCAAAGAGATGTGATGTGATAGAAAGTTTAGTCCTCAGGACAGTTAATGGCATAAAAACACTCAGCACTTGCGGTGTTTCTTGGTAGAAGACCTAAATAGAAGATCGAATTAGATAGCCAACTCATCCTTGCAAAGGAATAGCAGTTCAGCACAATGGGGACCACTGCACCTAACAGTTTCAAGCTGAATTTTGATGGAAGTATCTGGGGCAATCTGGGTCAGCTGGTATTGGGGGAGCCTTTAGGAACTGTAATGGCATGATCCTACGGTTCTTTTCAGGTCCATTTGGACTTGTGGACTCAACCATAGTAGAATTAAAAGCAGTGTTGCAGGGGTAAGAATAGAAGGCAGAAAAACTTCAGTAAACTAGCGGTGGAAAGAGACTTGGAAATGGTTGTGGGATGGTTAACCAACAGAAGGCAAGTCATTTGGCATCACTGGAGCTCAATGAAGGAGCTTCAAGAATTGGGAAGAGGACTATGTAGCATTCAAACAGTTAAGGAGATCAGCAATGTTTTGGCTGATACATTGGCTAAGCAAGGGGTAAACATCAGAACTATTTTGGGGAATTTTTTTTTGATCAGTAACTATTTTGGGGAAATTGTGTAACACAGCATATGGTGAAACAAGATTCATGTAGCCAACCCTGGTCACCTGTGTTAGATGTATCTTTTATGTTGTTCTGTTGGGTGACTTCTGGTCACTTGTGTTAGATGTATCTTTTATTTACAGCAATAAAATTTTCCTTTTTATTTATCTTCAAAAAAAAAAGATTCATATTGCCGACCCTATATAAGTTGGGTCAAGGTTTAGATAATGATGATGTATAACACATCATAACATGGACATGTAAAATAACTTTTTCCAAAAAAAAAACAGATATGTAAAAGTTGATATTAGCATGGGTTGGAGGCTGTAATGCCTTGGTTGTAGGGGTGTCAGTTTGGCTGAACAATTCTTTGGTTCTTTTAATAAAATCATAAGATATTACTTCAAAAAAAGAAAGTTAAAATGTATAGGTATAAGTATATAATAAAACAGACGTGCATATCCCTGGACTGTGTAATTGTTGCCCCTCACACCCTTTGAGGGGTGTTGAACCCGAATACAGTACTTCCCTTTGAACCCCATTTCTAGCTAGACAATTAGCTATTTGATTTATCTTCTAATCCATTGGAACAATTAGATATGGGATCTTGCCTCTCTTAACATCTTCCTGTATCTCCATGAACCTTCATTGTTTCCTATCAACCAGCCCACTGCAACATAGAATCTCCTTCAATTTCTAGGCTTCCATAGCTATGAGATCTTGCCATTTTGAGCCCTTGTAATAGGGTTAGTCACTCCAATATACTAGAATCTCCCCAACCCATTGGATATGAGTGAACTTGCAAAGTTTCACCCCCAGTGTCCACCAGATAGGTCATGTGGTGGTACTTTTCTTGGGTACAATTGGCATTAGGGATTTTTTGAGGGCTGAAGTAATGGCAGTTGTGGAAGGGGTAACCAAAGCAAAGGAATTAGGTGTGCACTAACTGATTGTAGAAGATGGTTCTCAATTGGTAGTCAGGTGGTTACAAAATAAAGGGAATGGCATATTGATGTACCAAAATGAACTAAAGAAGACCAAGTGGTTGACTAGGGGTATGGATGTGAGATTTCAATGGGCCCAAAGGATGGTTAATTATCATGGCTGATCATGTGGAAAAGCAAGTGATTGGAGGGGGTACTTTTCTTGGGTACAATTGGCATTAGGGATTTTTTGAGGGCTGAAGTAATGGCAGTTGTGGAAGGGGTAACCAAAGCAAAGGAATTAGGTGTGCACTAACTGWTTGTAGAAGATGRTTCTCAATTGGTAGTCAGGTGGTTACAAAATAAAGGGAATGGCATATTGATGTACCAAAATGAACTAAAGAAGACCAAGTGGTTGACTAGGGGTATGGATGTGAGATTTCAATGGGCCCAAAGGATGGTTAATTATCATGGCTGATCATGTGGCAAAGCAAGTGATTGGAGGAATCAATTGTTTTGGGCTCTAATGTAAAGCTTTTCGATATTGGAGATAAGATGTTTTATCTCCAATTGTATTTGTATTCTATTTATTGCATCTTTATTTAATGAAAGTTACAGTTATTGATAAAAAAGAAAATTAAAAAAAAAACAATAGGGATAAGAGTTCACGGTGTAGTTTTTTATGGGTATAACTGTATAACTGCAGGGGAGCCACTTTGCAACACAGCATATGGAAATCTCAGCCCATAGCACTCTTCCCTGCAAGAGACCTGGCATTGACATAGCTTTGTCTTTTTTACCTCCTACATGAGGAGTGGTGATGCAACAAACTCTTCCAAGGGATAGTTGATCTATGACCAAGGAATCAACTTAATGATAGTGCTTTGTAAGGAATGACCATACAAGTTTCTTATTTAGACAAGTTGTAATTTGAAAAATCTTGTGGGATCACAATGTCAATTGGCTTCTCAGGGAAACTCATGAAAAGAACATCATTTTGCTTGTATGATGCATATATAGCAGAAAAAGATCTTATTCTTGTACTGCATTGATGCAAGAACCATGTCTTTCTATATTCTTTCACGCACACTTCCATTGAGAAAACACTTTTAAGACGCTCACATCACAAAGTTGGTAATCAATAATGGTTGGACTGTGGTTCCATTGGAGCAAAATTTAACCTAATGTTCTTTCCACATATGGTGAGAGGACACAAAGGGCTTTTTCTTGTCATTTAGTTTGAGTTTCCTTCTCCTTCAGTTTAACTTCTAACCAGTAAAGAAGTTGGTGGAAGTTTCTACTTATTGGACTCTAATCATTCTGTTTATTCATGTTATCATTCTTCTCTATTGATAACTCTATCCTTCCACCAACCAGTAAAGAGTTAGCTGGAAGGAGACTCCAAGGTTGTGGGCTGGTTAAGAAACAATAACTCAGGTCCATGGTAATATAGATACATTTTAATGGAAGATATCTGGCAAGTGAATTGAGGGCATACTTTTTAAGGACGCAAAGATTAAGAAATAGTTAGACAGATGGCTCGGCCAACAGGGGGTGGATTGGGACTGGTTGTTCTGGAGATAACTAATAGGGAGTAGGGATCAGTGCTTTAAAACATGGAGGCATGATGTGACTTGTGAGTCATTCCACTACTTGGGGGTGTGTGGAATAGTTTAGAATGCAAGAGGCATAAGCCTCTCGAAGAGGGGGAAGAAGGAGGATCTCATCTTATTTTTCTTGTTTCTTTTTCGATGAAAGATGTCTTGTATTAAGAAGAATGAGGATGCATAACACTAGCCAAAAGATCTTATCTCTTTTCTTTTTTTCTTTTTTCCTTTCCCTTTCCTATCCTTTCCTTTCCTTTCTTTCCTTTTCTTTCTTTCTTTTTGCATGAGGCATACATCTTTAGTACGAATCATGCAAAAGGTGTTTGAGGTGTATGCCCCATGCACTTAAGGCATACACATCAGGGGCATCAGCACCTCAGCATGCACCTCAGGGTGTTTTGAGGGTGCCTCACCTGAAGGTGCACCTCTGAGCATACATCTTCCATGCCTTTTAGCACATCACTAGGGACTCAAACTCTATAGCTTCTACAAAATTAAATGGTTTGATGGGGCATGGTAGCAGTGGCTATCTTGGATTAATTGGGGTGCTTGGCACACAACCATCGTAAATGCTCCATATGTTTTTTGTACAAAGCAATAAAGTGGATAGTCTCTATCCTTCCATTACAGTTGTAAATGAAGTTGGGGTAGAAAAAAAGATGCTAGATTTAAAAGCTGAACTTGCATAGATTTTCAAGAAGTTGGACAAGTGTTCAAAAATCTTGTTGAGGATTTTGGAACTGATTCTTGGCCTTGAGTACTTAGCTGGATATGCTCTATGTTTGTGCATTTTCTTAATTAATTTGGCCTTCATGTTCTATGATCTTTTTTTTTTTTATTAGTAACAGTGAAATTTTATTAATGATAAAAACAAGATTACAACGGGGTGGAGCTAAAAGGTCTTAACTCCAGTTACCCAAGAACTTTCTGATCTTGTAGTGATTACAAAACAGCCCAGAATAATGTGTCTCTATTTACCCCTTGCCTAGCTAGACCATCAGCCAATGCATTTGCACTTCTCCTTATCCAATTACATTGAGTTTCCATGTCCCTGGTTAACCATTTATATTTCCTCTTTTCATTGCTGTATTTCCACATCATAGCACTGTCCTCTGTTAGCCATTTCACCACCATTGCAGAATCACCTTCTATAACCACCTTTTTGATCTTCATTTCCTTGACCCTTTGAATTCCTTCAATAGCTCCAAGAATCTCAGCCCTCAATGAATCTCCCACCCCAATCGGCCCAGAGTACATGGCTAACACGTTCCCTGTTCCATCCCTTATCACACCTCCAATTCCAGAAGGCCCTGGGTTGCCTATGCTGCTACCATCAAAATTTGTACCCTTTGATGTTCTATGATCTTCAATCTATCAACTTAGTTTGTACCAATTGATAATTAATGTTTTATACTGTTTCTGTTTGCTTTTATGTTCTTGATATTTTAAAGGCTCTGAAGGCATCTATTAGATTTGTTACAGGTCAATGAATACCCACATGGGGCAGGCTTGTCCCCACATATAGACACTCATTCAGCATTTGAGGGATTAATTTTCAGCCTTTCATTAGCAGGGCCTTGCATTATGGAATTCAGGAGATATTCACAAGGAACATGGCTTCCTCCACTGACCACCAGTAATGATGTGACAGAGGAAGATAATGACCACTGTTCAAATTTCACTAGAAGAATCATTTTTCTTCCCCCTCGGTCAATGCTTCTGTTATCTGGAGAGGCACGGTATGCTTGGCATCACTACATTCCACACCATAAGGTAATATGATTATTGTTGACCTAGTTTTTTGATTGCTTTTAAGATTTATATTTGATTTTTCCTCTAGATAAGCTAAATCTTCTATCCCCTTGTTCATATTATACCGTAACCAATTGTATATTTGTGCAGCTTCCCCGTAGCTTTACATCCATAAATCTCAATATAAAAAAGGCCTTCAAATAAGGACTTTCTAACCACATGGTAAGGGTGTATAAGTTGAAACGGGTATGGGGAAGATAAAGTGACAAAGTCACAGCAGTAAGGGGAAGTTGCACAAATATACAATTGGTGCAGCTTGTAACTGAGCAGCTTGTAACTGAGAAAGACAGCTGCAAGTCCACAACACATTGTAACCATGGATTGTATGCAACAGTAAGGGGATTGGATCTCCTCGATCCTCATTTTTGCTGGCATACAACAATGGCTCCACCAACATTGTCACCATGTATGTGTGCGTGCATTCAAGGTAATGCTGCCTCCTCATCAGCTTTTTTGTGAGATCATGATCCTCAATACCTCAACTGGGGGTAAGATCATGTGTATCCTAAAGGCTCATGTGCTTGATCCTATAATCCTGATCTGTACCAGCTGATCAAGAACTCCAAGAAGACAAAGAAGCTTTGCTTAGCTTAGCTTGGTTTGGATCTTTTGTGTTTGAGAGGTGGGGTTGATGTGAATTCTTTGGCTGCCGTAGAGTGAGAATTTATTTATTTTTTTTATCAATGTCATAGAGTGAGAATTTATGATTACGGTAAACTGACATGATGGAGTGTTGTGGATGCGTTCGTGGGGAGGACGTACAGCCGTCGGCAGCAGCAGTGAGGAGGGGCCCACAAGGCTGTCACGGGGGTAGTTCTACAGCGGAAGAAACCCGTGCGGCGTCCTGGCCAAGGCAGGCCAGGACAAGCCTTT